AAAGAATCCGTGCGAAACGTGAGCTTTAAATTTAATTAAACAAGGCTTCGAGGCAGAGGAAATTCCTCGATCATTTTTTGTAATCGAGGTACTCGAGGAATCGTTGCAGCCCTATTTTGTACCTCTTATTCATTCATTCGTTTATTTTCACTGTAGTTGCTTTAAATTGGCACAGGTGTCTGATCTATTTTCTCTCCCTCTGTCTCTCCAGGCAATGTGGTTTATGACTTTTTTAAAGGACATGAGCTCAATCCCCGCATCAAAGACTTCGATCTGAAATTCTTCTGTGAGATGCGCCCTGGTCTGATTGGCTGGGTGAGTTGTCCTTTGTCTCAAACATTTAGTGAGCACTTGAAGTAAGAAGGTGGTTATTATTGGTATTATAAACAAAACAGGCCCTTTTGAGTTGTTAATGCCAGGTACATGAGTCAGAGTGATGTGCAGTGTACCTGTACACCTCAGCTAATTGTAGAGTTGATCAAAGTGCACCACTGTGTTTCAATGGGGTCATTTTCTACCCACATTGCACCCTCTGGTGGCCAAATGTGGAGTTGATCGTTGACCTCAAGGCCTTGTGTTTGCTTGTGACTATGAGGTTAATGCAGACTTTCAGCTGAGATTTTAAAGCATTAAAGAACCACAGTATTTGAACATGGGTCCCAGTGAGATCTTTAGATGATCCGTGAAGGCTTTGTACTGTTAAGCTGTCAGTGTCAGTTATGTCAAACCTGAAATGTAAGCACGTAATTTGTTTCTTTAAAAGCTTAAAATGAAAGTTGGGAGATGTCTTCCCAAATGGCTGTATAGCATTCTGCATGATGAGAAAACATTCCTAATGATGTTGGATTGTATCTGTCTCATTGTTTAGTGTGTGATCAACTTTGCAATGGCGCTGGCTGAGATGAAGCAGCAGGGTCTGGATGCTCCATCTTACTCCATGATCCTTGTGAACCTCTTCCAGCTTCTCTATGTGGTGGACGGCCTCTGGAATGAGGTAGAGCACAAAATATGTGCTGTAATGTTGATATTTTATTTTGAAATAGAAAATCCCTCAAAAGTAAACACATGGACGAATAAAGAAAATAATTACATTCATGGGCAGGTAAAGAACTTCTAAACCATACGAGTGCTGACTGTCTTTCTGTCTCCTCAGGAGGCCATCCTGACCACCATGGACTTGATGCACGATGGTTTTGGCTTCATGTTGGCGTTTGGTGATCTGGTGTGGGTTCCCTTCACCTACACCCTGCAGGCCTATTACCTGGTCAGCCACCCTAACCCGCTGAGCCTCCCCGCCCTCGCAGCCATTGTCACACTCAAACGTAAGTAGGAGCGGAGCATCAAACTGAAGTTACTGATCATCTTGACTGAGGGTTTGGGTTGTTTGATTACACAACTGTATTTATATATAGTTCTTGTTACTTCATCTTGAGGTCATGTACAGGTAGTCAGTCAGAAATATTAAGAGCATTTGATAAAAAGGGTAATTAGTTTATTCCCAATTTCTTCTTCTGGTTTTCTAAAGTTTCTCTCGGTCTCTGTCTTTCAGTCGTCGGCTTCTACATCTTCAGGATGTCCAACTCTGAGAAGAACGCCTTCAGGAGAAACCCATCAGACCCCAAACTGTCTCGTAAGTTTTCCTGCAGACTTATTTGATGGTCGGTGTGTTTATTCATACCATCTTCTCCTTATTTGAAGTCAGTATGTTCTATGTACCCAACACCCTTCCACATAGGCAACAGTATATTTACAGAAACCTGCAGTCTCTGATCTGCTTCTGTAATTCAGAATTATTACAGCAGGAAAATTATCTATAGAAACTACTGAAAATACACTAGAATGACAAGTTGTCAATAAATTAAACTTTAAATGATTTTCCATACAGTTGATGCCAAAACAGTTTAATATCAGACTGACTTTTTTTCTTCTATAGTTTGTTTTTCTCACTGGTAACCTCTGTCTTTGTGTTTGTCTGTTCTGTCCAGATTTGAAGACTATTACCACAGCTACTGGGAAGAGTCTGCTGGTGTCTGGCTGGTGGGGCGTGGTCCGCCACCCTAACTACCTGGGAGACCTTATGATGGCCCTGGCCTGGTCTCTACCCTGTGGTGAGTTGGCTTTACATTTGTGTAGTATTCAAAGACCAAGGGAACTAATTTCATGAATTAAGATGCAGGATGAGAGAGAGGACTGGCAAAGCACTTCTAGCATTTTCCATTGCTTCACGTGCACGCTGCTCCTGGGATAAGGAACAGTCTGCTGTCACGTGTCAGTGGGTGTGTGAGGAGCTTGAGGGACAGATTTCTGATCTATAAGGAAAAATTTATAAAGTGCAAATATCAATCCAAACATGCCACGAGGGCACACATGGACATTTTAAAGGTTACCTTGTTTTTGTGAGCAATGATAAACATTTCTATTCAGAAACCACAATGATGCTAACAATGACCACAATTGCAGTCAAAAATGAACATAGTAAGAATACAGTATACAACAACTGAAGTATAAAGACAAGTAAAATGTGGTTTTGCAGGTTGTCACTAAGGTTACATTCAGTAGCTGGAATGGAAGCAGAAAGGGAAACTGTACACAGGAAAAAGGCTCGCTGCACTGACCTCCAGGGGTTGAAATGTTCAAGTCTCACACCCATCATCACGTATCATAATGAAATACTTCCTGTGGCTTGTGGTACAAGGCAACACGTGGCAACAGCTGGTGACACGAAAGAGTGCTGAGTCAAGGAAACAACAATGAATTTGATGTGTGTAATGGACTTTAACTGTAACATGAACAACACAGCTGTTGTTCAGACAGCCCTTACATACAAGCATCAGCTGCTGTAGGTGACAGATGCTGCTAACATTCAGACCTTTACTCTGACTTCCTGACATAACCAGAATTAAAAATATACTTTTTGATGTGTCCACTGGTCAAAATATGTCAACAAATGAGAAGCAGAACATGAAGAATAGGGGTTTGTGGGATTATACCGTGCGAGCTTTGAATTAACAGAACTGCCTGAACAGGAACATTTTCAGCAGGAGGATAAACATTGTGTGAAAAGATTAACATGAATAACCACTGATAAAGTCTGTCACAGTCAGACTAAAATGTTTCTTCATGCTCTTTTACCGCCCACTCTGCAGGCTTCAGCCACCTCCTGCCGTGGTACTACATGATCTACTTCATCATCCTGCTCGTGCACCGAGACTCCCGCGACATGAGCGAGTGCAGGAGGAAGTACGGCTCGGCGTGGGACGAGTACTGCCGAACAGTTCGCTACCGGATCATTCCCCGCGTCTACTGAGGAACCCAACGCTGGACACTCCCCAGCTGAGGCCTTTTTTTGACCCGATACTGGGTGAAGGCTCACAAAAACCCCAAATATGAATGGATTGACTGACTGATTTGTCTTTTTTAGAATCTCTTTTTTTAAACCAAGAATTTTATAAAATCTTGATTCCGGACTGAAGGTGCTGCAGTATTTTGAATTTATTATTTTTTTTATGAAAGGAAAAAAAGACACTCATTGGTATTATGGATTGTTTGAAGAATTGCCTTTTTAAATAGAAAATACTCAAAACTACATACTTTTAAAAAGTTTACAAAACGGGGGGGAAAAAACGCCTCTGCTAGGAATGTCTCGTCAGGATGTATATTTTGTATATACACATTTGTTTTTATACTTCAAGAATAACTCACCACTCGCATCATTTTTGATAAGTCTTACTCTTTGCTCACAAAATATTCCAATATCAGCTTGGCTATTATGAATCATTTTGTAAGTACGCCTTCCTACTATAACTATACTGCTTGTGTATATTGTGAAGGATGGGATTAAAAATGCTACTTTTTAAATGAGCTGTACGGTGGAACTAGGACTCATGTCCTTTCTCAGGACCCGGCATGATGTTGTCAGAAAGTTGAATTAGAAAAGTTTTGTCTTAATAATTCTGTTGTGTATAATTTTATATAGATATCTAGTTTTGACTTTTGAGAGTGTAAAATGATTTTGGTGGTTTCAGGAAAAATGCACTAATGCGTTAAGGCATTTTCTTTCCTTTACGTTATCAATTCCAAAGTGTATTCGATTTGGCTTTGCTACCTCAGGTTCACTCACTGTCCAGTCCTTCCTTCTCTGTGCCCTCTGGGAGGCAGTGTGTGTAATTATGAGTGTGACATTACTGCTTAGCAAAGAAAAATGAGTTTTTTATTTCAGCAATAACGTTAGTATCTGTTACAACAAGTGGCACCCATCCACATCCCACGAGTCCCGCCTTTAGAATTCCCAACTGCTTCTATTTCCTGCATTTTTATGGCGCTGATGAAGCCATTTGTATTTTGTCCTGCCTGTTTCTGGAACATATACTCTACTATGAACTGGTTGTTAATTTGTCACCACTGCCACATTAATTTGAACCCGTTTAAGCTTTAACTTGCCAGGTCATGTGACTATTTCAGTGAAGTTTATACTGTGACAACAAGCAGAGCTGTTGACTGTGTTAGCAAACCCAAAAAAAATATTTTATGCATGTGCAGCTGTAGATGAGAATATAAGTAGCAATATGTTAAATAGACTAGGTAGCAAATTTTAATGCTGTGCGAACTAAATACCATGTAAATATTGTTTTTTGTTTTGTTTTGAATCATGTTTTTTTTTTTTTTTGAGTAAAAGAATAGTGACAATAGTAATGTTTCTCATTAGGTATTTAATGTTGCTTTTTATTTGGGATTTTTTTAAGTTAACTACCTAATTTTGACCACTGTAGTTATGTTTACAGCTAGATCTGCCATTTTTCTGGACTATATTTCAAAATGTACTTCAAATGTAAAATGGTGTGCGACACTCTAATCAGAGAAAACATGTTTGATACTTGAGATGCCACCATTCTGTACAACATATGGTAAATATTTGTTCTTAATATTTAGTGGTAAACTTCTCTCCTTGGTTTGGCGGTCTGTCAGTGGAAAGCAATAAGTCGGATGTACTTGGATATGCGACAGTAATGAATGAGAAGTTAACAGGTCCAGCAGGCTGTCGGTGAGGAGGAATCAGATCTGTGACGGCTGGAAAAAGCTTATCTGTACAAATGTTGCAGCAGAAAATAAAGATTTACAGTATTTCCCTTTTTTCTGCTTCCTGTTTATTTGTAGCCTTGTTGACAAACTTCCTGCTACTCCAGGATGAGGGTTCATTTGCTCTTACTGTTGAGGGATATATTATTAAAGATGTAATGTAATGTTTTTTTGAAAATCGAATCAATAATCTGAAGTATTAATGTTAAGTTAACCCCATGTTAAAAGTCAGTGTAGTCCATGGACTTCATCTGGCTCGGCAGACTGTAAAACTACTATTTCCCAGAAAGAAGGAGGTAAAGAATACCATTACCTAATTATTTTATTCAACTCCCAACTCATTTTAAAGTTATTACTTGGAACAGGTTGTGTTTTTATAATACAGAAATGCATGGTCAACTTTCCCTAATCAGCCTCTTCAGTCTGAACTAACGACTCACAGGGAGTTATTTGGTGGTAAACAGCTCCATCTTCTGGCAGCAGGGCCTTTGTGTCAGTGGTTCCCAACCTTTTTCCTATCATTGTGTAAAGTGATGATCCCTGACCAAGTGTCGTATTTTATGGATATTTCATATTATATTCAATGCATAACAATAACAGGACAGAACAACTGATAACCTGTACAACTGCATTAACTGGAGGA